TATTCTACAGAAAACCTTACCGATAAGTGAACTAGAAAAAAGTAAACAAGTAAACAGAAAATTGCTGTACAACAACTATGAGATGTTATGATATTCATTTTTACGTATTTTAATGTGCAAACATGCATTTACATGTCATTGCTTAGTTCCCTCTTTTTTGCTCTTGAAATGACCTTTATTCTTGCTCGCATAGATTCCATAGGTTTTTTAATGTCACACGTTCAATACCTTGCCAGCATTCGTTGACCACTTGCCTCAAGTCAGCCTGGCTGGCGGGTCTGTGCCTCGCCCTCTTCCGGTTAAAACGGTTCTACAAGTGCTCCATAGGTTTTAGATCTGGAATATGAGGTGGAAAGCCATGACAACGAGATCACCAGAATGAGTTTGCTTCTAAACGATTTCTGGCACATAGAAGATGTGCATGTGCTTAGGGTGATTATCATGTAGTTAGACGTGCGATCATCTTTGTACCAGATGAAATTCCATGTCCTTGAAGAATTGGATGATACTTTCTTTAATTAGGATCCTATTATATCTTTCAATATTGCCAAACCGAGCATGACCAAAGCAGCTAAAAGTTTGCTTGAGTAGGATTTAGTTTCTTCGAACCTCTCCAAGGTTAGTTGCATACCACCTTTTTAAATTCTCACTTCTTCTGCGATCTTACGAGGAAAGAATCCTTCAATACTTAATGGAACTATTTGTCCTTGTGCACCATCACTTTGCCCTTTTTCCTACCCATCTTGGGCAGTGTAAAGGAATGAGAACTTTATTTTGTTATAATTTAGATCATTAGGACCAAAACAGTGTGCAATTAATATAGTTTACAGTACTGAAACACTAGCACGCATGTCTTAACTCCAATACGCTGCCAGGATTTAATACTGGAATTCTACAACGACTGGACTCAAACTTTTGCCTCCTACTGTATGTATAGTTGGCATATAGTCCCTATTATAGAATAACCGAAGACTGCATGTTTTCCTACTTAGTACGAAGAATTCGTCACCGCGATTACAATACCGTGCTTGTATTTTGGATTGAAAATGGGTAACAACAGTTACTTTTCATTGCAAATCAAATAATAATCAAATAATAGGGATTATTACCAACGTGTGCGAATATACATATTACGGAAATATATTAACCTCTTATTAACCGAGCGCGAGGTCTTACCAATAAATATCGGACCGAAGTCTTTTTGAACAGGAAGTTACGCTTGCCATATAATAGTACGAATTAATGCTATAGGAATCATATTATATGTTTATAGCTTTCTAACACGGTAAATAAATTTGTATAAGTGGCTTCTCGGTCTGTGAAAGAGATACGGCAATATTTTTTCTATTTTAAATAAGTCTCATGATTTTTTCTAAATTTTTTTACGCATTTTTGTTAACGAATTACTTTTCATAATCAATATATTTTCGAATGAAATTATCTGACATTCGCTATTTTTCATATGCATATTAATGATCGGCTTATCCTGACAACGGAGATTATTTTGAAACAGAATTTATTCTTGCTCACTTGATCCAATTCGCTTAATATGTTACTGCAGCGATTTCCAGTTGAGCGTGGAATTGCGAAAGTTTGTTGGTTGAGTTCTGTAGTTTCAGAGCAATGATTCTAACGTCATCTAATAATGTTGCCAGGGGACGCTGACCATGGGTAAGGGTAAAACACGGAAGCGCAATGGCGAAAGCCGATTGGCAAAAGCGAAAAAAGAGGTAAACACGGAAGCGTTAAAAAGGTAAAACGCGGAAAAGAGGGTAAAACACGGAAAAAAGGGTAAAACGCGGAAAAAATGGTAGAACGTGGAAAAAGGGTAAAACGTGGGAAAAGGGGTAAAGCGCAGAAAAGAGACCATTCCGCTTCGGCGTTTTCTTTTACCCCCTGGCCAAGTTGTCAAGGGAAAACTGTCAATTTTGTGACTATAAATAGAAGAATATGTCCATTTTAGGTAACTGTTATACAACATTTGATGCTAAGTTGTTTGAAGACGCTGCCACGGTTATATGCTCTCTGGTTATATTCCAAAATAAATAAAAGATCTGCATGTATAGCGATTAATAGCCGCTATTTTTAAAGTAGTTTATTTATAGCTTTTAGTCAAAAACTTGACATTTTTTCTTGACAACTTGGTCCGCGTTACCTAATAATATAATTAGAAGACGTCACAAACATTTCTTTAAAACTACAAAACTTAGCGAAGAAACTTTCGCAATTCCCGCTCAACTGGAAATCGCAGAATATATTAGAAGCTTTCATTTTAAATGCTGTATACCTTAGTACCTCACAACATTACCGTTTTAAATTTAGAACCACCTTAACTGAGATGGATTATAAATTTTACTCTCAAAAGGTATGAAAGATGCAAAACTGAGATCCTATGAATTCAAAACGATAAAGTTGTGACGTAATTATCGGAAAGGTCTATTTGTCATGGGTTTCTAAAAAATATTTTTAAATAAAATCCACCAATGCGATTATAATTTTCATCTGTAATCATATATTTCTTAACTCTAAATTCGCCATTGGTTTCTCTTATAATTGTTTCTTAAAATAGTTTTAAATGAAAATAACATTACATGTTTTCCAATACTTTTCGAGCTAAGACTTTTTAAGCTAATTACGTAGAAATTTGGGAAATATTAACATCTACAGCGCGTTGTTTTGCCGTATTTAAGGTAATTTCTAGCAATGTCTATAATTACTATATTATTGATCATTCGTGCATGATAAAGAGGCAAACCTTAGGAATTTTTTTATATTAGCTAGCAAATAGCACGCGATATAATTATATCGGTCTACACATGGCAATCAAAAATTCAAAAGCTAGTGGTGTTTTTAGAAAACTGATGATTTAATTAATAATTCGCAAAGGAATTGATCCTGGATTTTTTATTTTCGAATATATAAAGAAGATAAGATTCCGAGAATTTAATGAAACATTTAAGGGTCAAATCTGTTCTAATTATTGCAAGCATTCTGTTTTTTGCGCAAAACAATACACGCACGCATTTTTTGTGAAAGAAGGGGCTCAGGGGAAGCACTCCTATAGAATGCAATTAATCCTCCATTCAAAATACTCGATCTTAAATGGCCTTTAAATCACTGTTTTCCTTGGGTGTATATGCTCCCCAGACTCTGAAACTGCGCACAAGCGTATGATTTCACATATGCCTGTCGACGATATGTAAACATTCCAGTGACACATATATAGTTCAGTACTCTTAGTGCATGCGCGCAAAGTCGAGAACATGTGTTCAGCTAACGACTATAGAATTCTAGTTTAAATGTTTCACGTTTGTACTATTTCTATCGATCTAATCCACCGAATAAAACAAAGTTATCAAATCCTTTCCGTCATATATATTCTACTCCACAATGCCCACACGCTACATAATATTATACTATGAAACAGTAGCCCTAAGACATCAACCTGACAAGCAGCACACGCTAATTGGACATGCCGTATACGATTGAATGAGTCTATGGGCATATATATAGATTACAGACAATTGTTATAGACTGTTAATGGTCTAATCTATGAGCGATATGTCAGCCAATAGAACACGAAATAACGTAGTATAGCGTTCGTCTGGTGTTATGAAATATATAGCGTATAGTATATAGCGTATAGTAAACTTTGCTGAAGCAATATAGGTAATTATATAATGACCACCATGCATGCATACATAGGTTAAGCGGCAATTGTCCCTTTTATTTTTGAACGGTGGAAGGGTGGGAAAAATTTCCGATTTAACAAATTAATAGCTTCTAATTTTGCAATCTGTATCTTTGAGGAGAGCGATTTGCTAAGTGAGAAGATGGAACATGTGCATTTTGCTTGTGCGCGTTTTTAGTACCGTACGTTCTTAATAAATTGAAATATAGTCAAATTTTTACAGCTTTATTTTCATGGTTGTATATTTATGTTACGGATTTCGTGATTTCTGATTCAACTTTTACCAGCTGATTTCAAATCATGACGTCAGTCAACAAAACAAATTTTCACACTCCCGGTGTTATTTGGCTCCGTGCTTCCAAATAGTGACATAAAGAGCGAAAACAAGAATTTTAATAAACCGTTGAGTGAAAAACTGGGACATGTCGCTTTGCTGGGAAGCTTTCGTCCAATCGGATAATGCTTTTCTATGCTTTCTAAAGAACAAAGCTAGGCTATTGGTTGAAACAGAAATGCATTGTAAAGTTCAGCCAATGAAAATCATTCTCTTGCGAGGAGCTGCGCCCTACCGAAAAAGTACGTGTTTCAGCATTCCAAAGTCATATGAAAAGAAGGAAATTATAATTCAGTTTTGTCGAAAGTCTGGCTTCGAATAATTTATGTTGATTTTTTTACATATTAGCTCCTTCAATTTTGAGATATTTATGTAAAATTTATAAATATTCTATATTGTTTTAAGACATGTTTTCATTAGAACTTTTGGGATCCTATACGGATTACCGAACGATTTTTTAATTACGCTTGAAATAAAAGTTGATGAATACATGTGCATAAACAGCTCGGGCGCATGCATAATTATTATTATGAAAGTAGTGCTTTTAAAATCTCACAATAACTTTACGAAGTCGCTATATAGTTGTTCTCGTAAAATTCGCGCGAGATGTTTCATCCTCGTACCTATTCCTCTTTGCTTGGGATCCCTCGAGGGATAGAGGACCTCCTCAATACGATATTATAACCGTGCATGCATCGATGCGTACGTAAATAAATCTATTATCTTGTTTCATGTACAAGTATTTTTTTTATCTTACTGGCAAAAAGCTCTCTACGTAAAACACTCATGCATGTTATCTTATAGCTGTTGTACTATATAGCAGTCAAGTTCATTTCTTCACACATTGTGGACTTTTTCTTATATTTCTAGGACTAAAGATTGAAAAACCTCGAAATCTTAGAGCAACAGTTAATGGGAGCAAGGTACTTATTAAATGGCAGCCTTCTGTACCTACGCGAGGGGATGCCTATTACTACGTTGTAACTTGGAAAAGAACCAATAAAAACGAAACAGAGGACTACGCAATTGCTGATAATGACAATTCCTTCGTCCGTGATTTTGGCAGTAAGTATATATTGGGGTACAAGAGTAAGTTGCTGCTAAACTTAGTTATGATTTAACGAATGATTAACGAATTATTTGCTGACGGTTATGATGTATGTGCATGTTTGGATACATATAATATATGTTTTCGCACGTTATACAGTATAGACATATCACTGCAGTCCATGGACCGCTATAAAAGATTAACCAGAGTGCTTAGATACAAAACAAATTGTAATTAAGTTGCCTGATCCTGTACGGCTATTGACCGATCAAATTACGTGTTTCGCTCTAGTTATTATGTATTACTTATTTTTCCGACGCCGAAGGAAACAGTGTGTTTTGTGTCACAAAAACGTTTTTCACTAACTTAGTGATTTGTTATTATATCTAGTGTTAGTGAGGCCAAAGAACATGAAATTCATAGACATTACCTTTATGGTTAGCATATGATATAATTTAAAGGTAATTTCCAGTATCGCACGGTTGCTAGGAAAAGCATCGCAACGGGCAAAAAATTCCATAATTTGCCGGCCTAGGGAAAATTATTAAAATTAATGCCCGCTTGTGTTGATCACGCCTAATCATGCAGATTTGAAGCTCTTTACGCGTGGACCTCTTGTCTAATAGGAAAGCAGAAAATATGAATTTTGACACTATAGGTATAAAACAATAGAATTTATTAGTGCGTCAATCATTAATGAGTGTGTCTACATCAATCATTCATGAGTGTGTCTATTTTTCCTTTAGATGCCACTGGTTTATACACAATAGGAGTCCAGGCTGGTAATAACGTTGGGATTCGCAGTGAATTCGCTTATCTTTACAACGTTTCAATAGGTGGAAATTATACCATCACAACACAGAGTACTAAATTAACAACCGCTCAGCATTCAAATACAACCACTCATACTCACGAATTGTTGAAACGAACGAATCCAACTGCAATGTCCATGCCTTTAATTGCTGGAGGTTCGACAGGAGCCTTTGTATTCCTCTGTTTGGCTGTGTTTATCTTTCTTTTCCTGCTGAGAAAAATTCAAAAGAAGCGACGAGATCGATCAATACAGGTAAATATTTTTATCACCTTACAGCACAATTTGTTTATTAGAGGTTGACTAAAACTCACAGTCACGATTTTAATGTCTGCACCCTCTGCATGTGTTGGAAAAATTCGTTTTCATTAAAACTTATGCATCTTAGTTCATGTATTAGCTTATACTGTGTTTATCTTTCATTTTCAACCCTGATGTTATTGCAATAATTCGACTTTCGTTTATACTTAATAATTTACGTACTGCTACAACCGTATTCAACAATCATGCACCATGTTGTCCGTTTTGGTAGGCATATTATTGAAACCTATCCATCACCAGAAATTCAAGACATTAATTACCAACACTCCAGGATTTCGCAATCAAAGATGGCTGCCTTGTAGGCAATAATTCCATTATAACAAGGCAACAATTTTTGATTGCAAAATCCTGGCGTTATGGTGATCAAAGTCTTGAATTTCAGGTGCTGAATTGTAATCTATAATTGGTAATCTGTATGTCTGCCCCACCCCAATTAAAATACCGGAATTTTCAAGGTGATACAAAGATTTTTCTGGACAGAAGATACAGTTCATATTCATTTAAACTTAAGCTATAGCGTATTATATAGCGTATAATTATATTATTTTAAAATTGCCGGAATTTTCAGGTGAATCAAATATGAAAAATATGAAAATACGGTTCATATTTATTTAAACTTAGGCTATTGCTTATAAAATATTCGTGAAAGATATCCAGACAGCACACATAAAATCAATTATATATTTTCGGAGTTTACGCTAATCCAAACTGTTTTTGTTTCAGCCGTATACACTATTTTATAAATTCAGTGATCAAAATAACCTTGTCCACTGACTGCTTTTTGTGTTCCAGTGGCCGACATAATATTATGCCGTCTTGTTGACTTAATTGTTCGCGGTTAGAACCTCTCAACAACTTTTTGGACTAACTCAAACACAAATTTTGAGTACTTTGATTGGCTAAAAGCTAAAGGAAGTAGCTATAAGATACAAACACGATAAAAGATAAAAGATACAAAAAAACAGATTAATATCAAGGCCTTATATAATGTAACGAACAAAAACGCTTTCGTATTCTGTCAAACCTAAATATCTAGCTTTTTTTCTTTAAAAGTGGTAAACACCTGAGGCAAGCGCCAAGCAATGGACCAATTGTAATGCGTTAAACTGAGAAGTTTACATTGGCTGCGATCAATATAAAAATTATTCTGTTTGATTATTTCTAAAATTTTCCAGGAGATGTCTCTATTATAAATTTAATCGCAAAAATATAAATGAAATTCAAACAAAACCTGTGGATTTTTTTTTATTTGGTTGTATTTTTCCTTTTCAGGAATTTGAATCCCGTTGGTTCGAAATTAATCTTCAAAAGACAAACGCTGCGATTGAACGACCAAACAGAAGTAGCGGTTAGTAATTTACGGTTGCCTATAAAAAGTATGGCTTATGCTAGCAACTATATACATTTCCTCAGTTAAATTCAATAGTAAATTTTATGAAAATGGCTGGAATCAGGGTAAGCACAACCTTTAGAATGCTATTGTGGCGTGATATGACTTTAATTGGCATCACATACGCGCTGATCAGGTAATCATACACTATAGCTGAGATGAATAAACCTGGAGGCCTGCTCCTTTCGAAAACCGTTCGCAAAAGTATTCGTAAAAAGATGGCGTCAGCAGAGGTAATTTTTCTCATAGTATGGCAGCCACTGTCCGCGTGTGCGATAGCTCAGGTTCTGCTATTAACCAATCAAAAGCCAGAGTTTCCTTGCCAAGATACATACCATATGTTTGTTTTATTTGCCCGTTTCAATGAAAAAGAGTTATTGAAGTGTTCTATATGTTCCCGAAGCATTTTTCTTTGAATAAACTGGTAATATCTAACGATTTTAATATGCTTTCAAAAGTGTTTAAGGTGATTTTGGAATTGCACCAGTTAATTTGTGTTTCAAGTGGGAATATGCTGGGAAGTATTGCCCCAAAATACGCTGAGATTTGATACTGGTAAAAGATTTTATCTATTTGTTGTTAGATGCAGAAGACTTTCTATTTACCTAGGTCAAGGCTTCATTAAAGCAAAATTAATTTTGCCTTTGTAGCTATGAGTTTAAGAAATATATATAATAATAATTATAGCTATATTTAAAAGCGTTAAAAAAACATGATGGGCTTCGTCTTTGTATTCGTATTTATATTGTTCAAGGAAAAATGATTTGTGGAAAACATTACCCTATTGAAACTATTTTTGAACTTTTTTCATACTTTTCGTAGGTGACAAAAAGTGCTAAAATTCCGATAAGTGTGTTTAAAAAACCCAAGAGAGTAAGAAATTTCGTTACAGGTTTAGGGAAAAAAAATTTTCTGGTTTAATTTCCCCCCACGATACGTTGTTTATCGCGGTCAGTGGATGCCCGGGTGAAAGTATTGACCTCTGCTGACGGCAGTTTTTTATCTCAGACTCCAGGTTTATTATGTCAATGTAGTGATATCATTCGTCTTGCATAAGTCACTATATCGACTGTAGTTTGGCAATACTAATCTCAAACTCTTATTGTGTGTAAAGTTATTTGTCTCACTCTGAAGTGAGAAAAATATTTTTTCTTCAGAATCACGCCAAAAGAAAATATCATACGTTGCACTATTGAAGCGCTGGCAAATCTCGCCAAACAGGCTGAAGGTACTGAACAAGCCACTGGGAGTTGGACAGTTTGGTATTGTTAAGAAAGGTTTATACTCACCTCAATCTGGCGGCGATCCTAAAGATGTTGCTGTGAAAATGTTAAAAGGTTAATAGTTAACATTAATAAATTAAAATTCTGAACAACTAAGAAGCCATAGTAACTTAGGTATTGCCCATTTGAAAGTAGTCCAAAGTCTTAATACTCCAGACGAAGCGACTCCTCGTGCATTGCGCACACAGGTATATAATTTTTATTTGGAACAGCAAATATATCTTTTTATTTGTCCATTTTAATTTGGATATTATTTTCAAAATATTATTTCATGTATTTAGATAATGCGACACAATCTGCTCTATCCAACCTGTTAGCCGAGTTAAAAATTCTAAAAAAAATAAATAAAGAGCCACACCCAAACGTCATAAGATTCATCGGTGGTCTTTTTACGGAAGGTATGCAACATGTATTTTGCAATAACTATCCTGCTTTCCTTTCGCGTTTTCCTTGGATTTTTTTGTCCTGCACAGTATGCCAGGTTTTAGGAAAAAATCCTTGCGGAATTAATATTCTTAAACAGCATTCAATTAAAATGTTTCCTTACTTTAGACCAACTCATGGTTGTAACGGAGTATTGCTCTTCCGGAAACCTGTTAAAGTTTCTAAGAAGAAGTAAAGTTATTGATACTGAATCTAACGCATCTCATTCGGAAAGCGACAAGCTAAATTCAACATTAAGCTCTTGCCAACTTCTGAAGATTGCCGTCGAGGTGTCCAGTGGAATGTTATATCTTTCAAAACAGAAGGTATATTCACCCATTATTATTAATATAGTTTCATCAGTCAGTTTCTCCTATTTCATAATCAACTAAATAGCAATTAATTAACAATCACTATAAATTTTAAGCTTGTCCATCGTGATTTGGCAGCCAGAAATATTTTGCTTGGCGGGGAAGGTAACGTGGCGAAAATTTCAGATTTTGGGTTGGCGAGGGACATCAGAAATACTCAAGCATATATAAGAACTAACCAGGTAAAACATCCTAAATGAACTGTAAAAGTTGCTACATTCATATTAACGTATGTATACGGTATGACAACTCTATTTTATTAGGCGAAGAAAAAGAAATTATTACTCTGAGAATTACGTAATTTTGAAAGATTGAGTAAAAAGTACTAAGTTCGCGTATATAAAAAGTTTAAATGATGTATTGAAACTTTTTCTCTTCCTTTTATTTGTCTTAAACCAAACGTCTTTGGTTCGACGAATTAAGATTAGAATGCTTATTAAATAACCATGAAGCGCAACTCCCCATGAGTTAAAGATGACGTACCTGTAAACAAATTTTAGTGTTCGTGGTCACTGTAGTCTGTGGATCCGGTTTTCATTGCTCTGACTACAGAAAAGGTTTATATTATTGCCATGTCAAAGGGTCATCTATTGTGTCCTTAAACTTTAATTAACGCAAAAATATTTTGTCTTTGGTAGTAAAATTAATAATATTTACAGCGTTATAAACCTGCATGCATGAATTGTTAGAAACGTGTATTTTTATAGGACTTACTTCCAGTAAAATGGATGGCTTTGGAAAGTTTAACCGAAGACCGTTTTACAACCGCCAGCGATGTGTGAGTTGATATGTTTCGTTAACTTATAATGTTATATGTACCAACTATAGCAAGATATTTACTTGTATTCCCCGGGCCCGTGCATGCAGAGTACTGTGGGATGGTACTAATTCCGCCCGGAGATTAGGAACTACACCCGCGGAACCCAGGAGAATATGTAGCGGAATCCAAAGTTGCCCAAATGTCATGAACGTTCAATGGTCATGGTGTTTGTACACATGCGCGATGCCAATGAAATGGCAAATTGTTTTTCGGATATGTTTTTTATTTTTAACAGTCTTTTAGCCTTTTCCAGAAAGGTTTTCACACATTTAGCCGTACGTTGCTTTGGTTTTGTCGTTCTGTGTACCTTTTTAAACAAATACACATGAAAATTATATTTTTTTGAAAACATCGTGTCAATTGTCAAAGATTATGAACATTATAGATAAAGCACTGAGTGTTTAAAAGTCAAAACAAACTGAAAGAAAGATATACCACAATGGTAGAAAAATGCGTTTTTTCTTCCGATATTAGTCAGCCAAAAACTGCGAAAGCTATTTGTTGTCAATCGCGAATATAAGGGGCCTTAAGATTCACAATTTTTTTCCAGTTTAGTTTTGAAACTGCAGAAATGAAGACAGTTTTACTTCACGTCTGTATCGTAGATTTGGTATTATCCACATCTATAGATATCTTCCATGCTCGCCTGATCGATATAAATATTGAATCAAACTGTAGTAATTGTAGGCCGGAAGCCTTTCTTTGATCTCCGAGGTTCCTCAAAAAACAATGGTACAAATTACAGGTCTGAAAAACAAATCTCCATATGCATAAGCAGAAAAATTGCTAAAATATGACTTGGATTTTAATCAATATTTTATATAAATTGGAACAATTAAATTAAGGCAAAGTTTTATTTCGTCAATGCCTTATTGTACTCTAATTTTGCATATTATGCGCATGGCATGCATTAAATGCAGAAACTAATTTCAATGTTTTTGTTTTTAATCAGATGGAGCTTTGGCATTCTTCTCTATGAAATTGTGACTTTAGGTATGTATATATATATATTGCACTACACTGGATTCGAGACCGCGTAGACTCCGAATTACACCAAATATAGCACCAATAACATGACAACATAATTATAGTTAGGCTTTTCAAATTACTACAATTTTCAGGTCAAGAACCATACAAAGGTGTATCGCCGTATGACATCAAAGTGCACGTCGTTTCCGGGGGGCGCATGGAGAAACCGTCCCACTGCTCGAGTGAAATGTAAGATAATTAAATTAAGGTTTCGTTCGTAAATAAATAAGTCTTTATACCAACCTCTGGTTTTCTTTAGCACTCAACAGTTTTGGTGTAACTATAAGCTAATACATTTATTGATGAACATGAACTTCAAATGAGAGTGAATATATCGGAGAAGTGAAGGATGACCACGTTTTCCATCATTAAGTTTATATATTAAAGCTTTAAGCTACAGTCAAAATACGCGTAAAATATCAAAATTAATAATGTTGCCTAATTAGCCGACAGGCATTAGAACACCCTAGAATTCACTCGAATTGTGGTATGTAAAAAATTGCAAAAGGCTAGCTGTGCAAAAAATGTTTTACTATAGCAGTGAGATATGTTTCTATTTTTTTACAAATTAATCCGCTGCGGGTGGATTCCTATAGCCTTTCCTACAATCTGATTAGCTGTAGCAGCCGGCAGAATTTTACGATATCTGACCACGGTCCGGAATTTGTTTTCTTTTCTAAATATTTATTCGCAAACTTTTGACTTTTTAATTTCAAAATATATGGACCAAATGATTATCGTGATAAATTGAAGTGAGTTTTAGTAAATTAAACAAATGAGGTTTCGATTGTTTATGTTTTTTTCGGCGTTGCTGAGTCTGACTAAGACTAAACGCCGCTTTTATTTCCCACCAGTCACGAACAAATCAATCCTTTCTCTTTCTTGACAGCTATGGAATAATGTTAGACTGTTGGAAAGCTGAAGCAAACGAACGACCGAATTTCTCAGAAATATCGAAAAGTATTTATGGTATGATGAATGAATCCCAGGTAACTCTCAGTAAATTAGATTATTATTCTACAATTGAATAAAAAATGAAGTTTATGCAAGTTGCAATGGGATAGAGTGTGAAAAACGGGTTTAGAATTAAATTAATCTATAATGTTCATAATATTTACCAATTCAAAACAAAACAGTTTTAAGCATTTTATACTTTCTCATCTATATATTATCTGTTCTCAATTGCAAGAACTGTCGCTAGACGGCTGGATACACACACAAAGGTCTCAAACCTTAATTTATGCATTTGTGTTTTATGAATAGATGTTTCTTGCTTTTTGGTTTTTCTTTGAAAAGTGGAAAGTAGTAACCACTGGTGGTATATAATAACCACTGGTATATAATATAATATAATATGATAATATGGACATGCCTCGGGTGCACAAATCATAATGTTTCCTTCGTTTGCAGTAAATAAGTGCTAATTGTTTTGCCCGAAATATCATGTGTAACCACTAACTGACAAATCGCATCGAATTACGATACCGATTACGAATTTTAGCCCTTGGCTACTATCGTTTACGTCGCATTCTTACTATCTTACACAAATGATGACATAAAATATTTTGCTTAATACGAAAATCCTTAAAATATCAATCTAAGGCGTGTTTATATGGAGCGAGTTATCCCAGCTAGGCATGGTGAAAAGTGCATAAAATGAAAGATCTGATTGATCTGACGCGCCTTTTACTTCGCCAAGCCGCACAAGGAGGAATATCGTTTTAAACTAATCGCCATGTTTGTTTACATATTTTAGGTAAATCCTTTCAGAATGCTAAATCTTAAATACTTTATGTAAAATGGTATATATTGTACTTTTTATCAAAATTTATGCATTCTGATTGGGTTATTGAAAATGAAAACAAATTTGCTGATTCGTCTAAGACGAAATCCCTCTTGTTGCCGAGCCGGTATAACTCTCTCCATGTAAACAGGCCCCTAAGACGCATTTTAATCCAAAACTTACACACTTTACGCACTTTGATATACACAAAGGAATGAGACTAATGGTTTCAAATGGCCGAAAATTATATTTACCCATTTGCTTTTCGTATCAAAAATAAAAAAATCATCCGCGTCATGCCTGTTGATATTTACTACTTTTACAATAGTTTTATCATGCATATAACTAACACAACTAAGCCTTATGTAACAATATGAAGTCTAAATTTTCTTTTCAATAAAGCGAAAATAATTTTATTGCCATATCCTTTCAAAGTGTATTTATTTTTTTAACAAAAGCGAAATTAATATGAAAACATGTCTTCACATATGAAAATATGAAAAGAGAAAATCCTTTTCTGGTGTATAGATTAGCTTTATTAACGTTTAACTATTGGCTAGAACTTTGGATAATGTTTCAACGCCAAGTTATCTTTTTTTAGAAATCGCATATCAATGTGGGGCGAGTAATGGGGAAGAATAGTGTCCAAATTGAAATGGCGAAAGTTGCAAATAAATCAACATAACAAATTGGGAAAACAGTATTATCCCCGAGCCGGTGCGAAGCACCGGGCGAGGGTACTAATTCCGCCCGGAGATTTTAATTACGCCCGGGAATGCAAATGCGAAATGAAAGTTGTCCGCCATTATGTCATGGACGTTGGGCGTTTTTGTAAGTTATGCGCATGCGTGAGTATAAGACGAGTTAAAACTGGTAACTAGAAAACGTTTACAAACGTGCGATTGGCTAAATTAAAATTTGGGTCACGTCAGCATAACTGATATTTTGAATTATAAACCTTTTTTTAAATAATATTTTTCATTTGGATGGTCTTAAAAATATACGAAAAATTGACTCGTAAAATTGATTAAAATATAATGTAAAAGATACCTTTGGTAGAAAAATTTTCATTCTAATGGATGGTGAAATATCTACGATTTTGAAGCATTTTTAAAGTTTTTTTGAACTGGTAAATGGGTAGATTTCGGTATTTTAAAGTATACTAGTGTTTTGTAAGTTTAATATGTGGATTTATCAACAAATGTATGACCCCTCTTTGAATTTATTCGTCAATATATCGTTGAAATGATTTGGATTTGAAAAGTATTTATTTTTAAAGTTGAATTTGTTTAAAAAGTAATTGAAATTTCGCTAAGAATTGTAGTATTTAAAACTATTCGTAGCACAATTATGATTATATTATAGTCGAATTTGATAGCTCGAGAGTCGACTTTATAATTCTACCAAGATATAGGATTTTACTTTACGACTTCGATCATTCAGCAGAAACGAGTATCATAGAATTTCAGTGATGGAAATATTTTTTATATAGCTTTAAATATTGTTTATTGTTTAAAGTTTATTGCGTCAGGCGAGGGGACTTTGCATGCAATGTATTTCTAGTAATTATACAGTAACTAGTATTACGTATATAGCCACTAAACAGGATAGCATGTGCTACAAAGCACTGTATTGCGCAGGGAAAATAATGGAGTTTCAGTCCAAACTTTTTATGTTCCCAATCTAAAAGATTCGCGAATACTTTTTTCAGATTTGAAAATACCTTGCATCAGTTATTCCATATCGTAAAAAAAATGGAAAGTATTCTGTCTTAAAAAATAATAAATTCCGCTTGAAAGGCCCAACACTGTGATCTTCCGAAGTCGTAAAACACATCGTGCTTTTGATTAAAGCCTGGCTTTCTTCATGCTTGGCTTTTCACGATACATCAGGGTTCCGGTAAGATATTTTCATGCCTTTCAAAATGCTTATAATCGTCTTCTGTATGCCGAAAAAATTGTTAAAGATTCTTTTCGCAACACCAGAAAATTCAGGGCGATACAACACCATAAAGAAAATGAGACAGCGATCAGCCTTATTGCCATGGAGTTTCAGTCCAAATTTTTTATGTCCCTAATCTAAGAGATTTGCTAACACTTTTTTTGGATTTAAATATACCTTCCATCAGTTAGTTCATTTGCTTAAAAAAA